GGTGGAACAGCAAAGGCCAGGAGCAGAGACCAGCTGTGGATGGAGACCCAGAGTCAGAGGCCGCTGCTGCGCTCTCTGCCTCAGGCTTTCCCCAGGAAGCAGGCCCAGGCTGGGGAAGGGGAGCGAGAACCCTTTCTTCCTTGGGCCCCACTAGTCTCCTAGGGGAGAAGCAGGGATGCTGTGGAGCAAGGAGAGGCTGCAAAGATTCAGCTGAGGGAGAGCTGGTGCTGGGGGTGTGGGTGATGGATGCTCTCGGCTCCAAGGGCTATGGCCAGAGCCCAGCCTGAGATCAGAGGGAAGACGGTCAGAGTCAGAGCCCTTCTCCCTGGGTCCCGTCCAGCGCCCTCAGAACAAAACACCTGCCCACCAAGCAGATCAAGGCACACCAGCCATGGAAGGGACCTCAGAGATCCCCCTCTCCACCCCCACCCCCATTTCCCATGTTAGAGAAGAGGAGACCGAGAAGCCCAGAGTGGGGGAGTGATTCTCCCATGGTGACAGAGCAGCTCCTGGTGCTCCCGCCCCATCCTTCTGCCACCTTTGGTCAGGGTCAGGAGTCCTGCCCGTGCCCCCTCCTCTGTCCCTGCCCTCTGCGCCATCTTCAGGCCTCTGGACCTGCCGGCTGCCCCCGCCAGACTGGAGGGTGGAGACCTGGGCCCCAGACACCCCAGGAAGCCCAGCAGGGCCCAGGAGCAGGGCCCCATCTGGATCTGGCATTTGCTCTACGTGGTCACTTCCGGCCTCCCCATCGTCCTCTCTTCCAGCATCCTCACTGGGCCTGCCCGCCCCTCCCCACTCCCCAGTCCTCCGCTGGCCCCTGAGTGTGTGCTGGGGGGGGGATGGGGGGCGGGGCTGGCCCCTGTTCGGTCAGGGACGTTGGGATGGGGGCGGGGCCCTCAGCTTCCTGTTGTTCATCGCCCTGGGGCTCTGGGGGGGATTTCCCTGGCCACCCCCACTCCCCCAGGGAAGGGGAAGGAGCCCTGGTGAGTCACAGGCCTGGGGGGGGAGCCCGAGGGTGAGAAGGGGCGGCGGGAGGAGTCCTGTCCTGTCCTGTCGCCGAGGTACCAGGCCCTGGGCCCTCAGCAGGCATCTGGGACCCTCTCCCAAATGCCAAACCCGGCCCATCGCAGGACACCTCTCCCCCTGCCCTGGCTGCCCTGACAGGTGCTTACCTTGGTGCTGGGGCCAGTCGGGGACACAGAGAACGGGGAGGTCTTATTCTGGGGGTTCTGCAAAGAGCGAGTTGGGGTGGGAGATGGGAACAGTGAGAGGAAGCAGCTTCTGACACCCTGCCCTCCCCCACAGAGCTCCCCTCTGCTCCCTTCTCCCCCTCCCCCTCCCCACCCTCCTGCACATCCATCCCTCCTGACCTGATGGTTAGTGTCTGGTCCATTTCTTTCCGTGTCTGCAAGGAGAGGGACAGGGTGAGCTGTCACAAGCCACCCCCAAAACTCCCCCCGCGCACCTGCCCTCCGCCCGTGGTGACCTCTGCCCTCCCTGCTCCCTTCCCCACTCACCTGTGTGCTCTGACGGGGAGTCCAGACCTTGCTTCTCGGCCTCCAGGGGCTTAGACATTCTTATTTCTGGGGACAGAGGAGGGATGCAACTGGGGTGAGGGTGCAGAAGCCTGAAGAGCTCTGGGGCCCCTCCTCTGGCACCACCCCAGCCTCTCCCCAAATACTCCCACACCCCCTGCCGCTTTGCAAGAGACATGCCCTCTGCTCTGAGCCTCTGCTCTCCTCTGGCAGCACAGGTGAGGGGCCTTCGGGCCCTGGGGATCCCCTTCACCCCTCCAGGAGGTGGCACAGGGAGGGTCAGCCCCCGAGCCCCAGTGAGACCCTGGGGCAGGGTGGGAGGGTAGAGGTTGGCCGTTGGTCCTGACAAGGCTCTGGCCGCCCAGAGGGAGGCTGGTGACGCTCCAGAGCAGCGAGTCAGCCTTAGGCTTCCTCTCAGGCTGCCGCCCAGGCGCCCATCCTGCCTCACCAGGTTTCGGTGAGGCATGTTTTCCACTCTGAGTAGGGCCTGGGAGGTGTGAGGGGACTGCAGCATCCCCAAAGGAACGAGTTGTCAGATCTCTGGCTGTGATTCAGCCGCCCTCTGGCCCCCTCCCCAGCCCACCACTTTCCTGTCCATACCCCACTCCCACCGGCCTCCCCTTCAGGTACTCAGCACACAGGCGGCCCCACTCTGATCTTTGTGACCCCGACCCCATCCGCTTCTGCCCCGACCTTGTCCTCAAAGCCAATCTTAGACCTTACCTGGGACTTCAGCCCTTGAATTGCAGCTGCACACCCCAATCCAACCTACAGTCCCTGCCCCTACAGACGCAATCCCACCCTATAGTTCCGCGGGCAGAGGAAATGAAAGAAGGTGGCCGACGGGAGTGGCAAGCAGGGGACACAAAGCAATGGAGACAAACCCCCGTCCTCACAGCTCTCTGATGCTGGTCACGGGAAGGTGAGTGTTACCAGGGCCAAGCACAGTGCCAAGTATGATTCAGAGCTCATGCCGCCAGTTGGTGCTAATATTACCCCCATTTTACAGAGGAGGAAACTGAGGCTCCAGGGGGGATGGCCCCTCCCCAAGAACGCAGTGAGGCAGCAGAGGCACCCTGATCGGACCTGGGTCTTTGTGACTCCAGGACTCCCACTTCTTTTTTTTTTTTTTTGCGGTACGCGGGCCTCTCACTGCTGTGGCCTCTCCCATTGCGGAGCACAGGCTCCGGACGCGCAGGCTCAGCGGCCATGGCTCACGGGCCCAGCCGCCCCGCGGCATGTGGGATCCTCCCGGACCGGGGCACGAACCCGCGTCCCCCGCATCGGCAGGCGGACTCTCAACCACTGTGCCACCAGGGAAGCCCCAGGGCTCCCACTTCTGATCAGTATCGCTGAGTCTCTGATGGGCCTGTCATGACTTTCACCACCTCATCTCTCACCGTCACCCCAACCCAAGCTTACCCTGACTCCGACTTGAACCCAGCCCTTGCTGGTCCTAGACCCCCGCACAAATCTGGGTTTCTGCCCGACCCGTTCTGAATCCCCTTTGCCCACCCTGATTCCCAACTCCTGTCCAGACGGCGCGAGTCCTTCATCTGACCTCAACTCCCAACTCGGCCTCAGACCTTACTCCTGACCCTGACTCTGACCCTAAAATCTCCCCTACAGCTCACTCCAAATCCCCACCAAGACCCCCACCCTATCAAAGGAGCTATCCAACTCTAGTGTGCTCTGCATCCAAGATATTTAAAGAAGGCCAGCTAGAGAGAGAGCTGGGACAGCGTCACCAACTGAAAAAAAAAAAAAAAAGTCGAGAAATTTTGCAATTACTCGACACGGAACGCCACTCGGATTTAAAATTCCTGATTAAAAAGCCAGGTCACACACTGCTGGTGGGAGTGTAAATCAATACAAGCACGATTCAGGAAAGCCGAGCGGTGCCCCTTCCCTGTGGCCCGGCACATCCACTCCCGGGCATCCATCCAAGAGAAAGGAGCGTCCTGCCCACCATCACCACCCCCGGCACACGTGTTCCCAGCAGCTCTTCCATAACCACTCCACCCCCCTGGAAATAGCTCAAGGGCCCATTAACGGGAATGGGTCGACAACACCAGTACATCCATACAATGAAATACTCCACGGCCGGGGAAAAGAACCAACTCCTGCATCACACACACTGAACCTCGCAAACATGATGCCGGGGTAAAGACGTGAGACACACAAGTGGACACACAGGAGGACTCCAATTATGTGAAACTCAGAAACAGGCAGGATGACATCAGATGATTAAGGTCAGATTAGTGGGCACCTTTTGGGGGGTGCTAACCGGGAGAGGGTGTGAGGAAGCCTGCAAGGGGTTGGAAATGTTCTGTTTGGTGGTTATGTGGGTCTACACATATGTAAAAATTCATCAAGCTGTATGCTTAAAATTTGAGCACTTTATGTATGGTATGTTTTCACAAAAAAAGAAAAAAAGTTTGAGTTGGGACTTCCCTGGTGGCGCAGTGGTTAAGACTCCACGTTCCCAATGCAGGAGGCCCGGGTTAGATCCCTGGCCAGGGTACTAGATCCCACACGCGTGCCGCAACTAAGGAGCCTGCGAACCACAACTAAGGAGCCTGCGAGCCACAACTAAGGAGCCCTTGAGCTGCAACTAATGGAACCCATGTGCTGCAACTAAGGAGCCGGCAAGCCGCAACTAAGGAGCCCTTGAGCTGCAACTAAAGGAGCCCACGTGCTGCAACTAAGGAGCCGGCCAGCCTCAACTAAGGAGCCTGCCTGCCGCAACTAAGACCTGGTGCAACCAAATAAATAAATACAATTTTAAGCTAATAACAATAAAAATAATAAGCCAGCATATAGTCCTATTAAGGCATGAGCTTATGAGGGTTGGGGTGCAGGTGCCCAGATGCTACAGGAGCTCAGGCCCTGTTTCTGGGCACTGGGAAGGGGGCAGCAAGTGGCTAAGGATGCTGAGAGAGCCAGGGGATGAGGCCCCCTCCTGACTCTGGTGCATCAGATGCGGGAGTCCTGCCTGATCCTGGTTCTAAATCTCCCAGACCTTGGCCCTGCTCCAGGCAACCACAAATCCTGACGTGGCCCTAAATCCCACCCCTCCCAGCATCCCTGAAAGCCATGCCCCAGCCCCCTCCCCAGCCCCCCGCTCCAGCCAGTGTCCACATTGCCACGGGAGCTCCCCGCCTGGCCCTGAACCCTTCCATGGCTCCCCGTCTCCTAAGAAAAGCCCAGGTTCCTCATCCTGGCCTTTAGGGTGTGACCCTTGTCACCCTCTGCTGCCCATCTCTTGCCACTTATGCAACTTTCTCCTCAGCCACGCCAGGTATCTCCCTCTGCTTGATGGGGAGTCCAGACCTTCAGGTTCTTTACTCCCCACCTAGCTAGGGAACGTCCCTCCTGATCACAGACCAGGGTGGCCTCTGACCTCACCTCCACCCCAGAGAGTCCATGCTCATTCTCGGCCTCTCTTATGTGCTGAGCTGTGTCCCCCAACATTCCTATGTTGAAGCCCTAACCCCCAGTACCTCAGAACGTGACTGTCTTTGGAGATAGGATCTTTAAACAGGTAATGAACTTAAAATGAGACCCTTAGGGCCCTTAGGGTGGGCTCTGATCCAATATGACTGGGGTCCTTATAAGAAGACAGAGACATGCCCAAAGGGAAGACCGTGTGAAGACACAGGGAGCTGACGGCCATCTCAAGCCAAGGAGAGAGGCTTCAGAAGAAACCAACCCTGCTGACACCTTGACCTTGGACTTCTAGCTTCCAGAATTTTGAGAAAATAAATTTCCGTTGTTTAAGCCATCCAGTCTGGGGTACTTTGTTATGGCAGCCCTAGCAAATTAATGCAGCCTCCCTTGGTCGTGCCTTCTCGCCGTCCTAGCCCCGAGCCCGCAGGGCTGTGGTCACCTGTGTCCCAGTCCTTTCCCCACCAGACCCGCGGGCAGGCCTGGTCTGACTCATCGCTGGGTCCCCAGCATCACCCAGCTCAGAAGAACAGGTTATGTTTGCTGAGCGTCCGTCCTTCCCTGCAGCTCTCTCTGTCTCTTACTTGTTCCTGCCTCTGTCCTGCTGTCTGTCTGCCATTTAACAAATGTTTCCCGAGGCCTTGGTGTGGGCTGGTCCCTCTGCCTGGAACGCTGTCCCCCACTCTATCTGCCTGGCGATCTCCTACTCATCCTTCAGGGCCCAGCACAGGCTCTGTCCTCCATGAAGTCACCACCCCCGATGACTTCAGGCACAGGGTCTCTCCCCTGTTCCCTCCACCCTGGCTCCATCTCCCCTGTAACTGTCCTAAAGGCTGTAGCCATCTGGGCCCCAGAATGTCTCCTCCTTCAGGCTAGAAACCCCTCAGGGGCAGCTCTGACTCATCTGGGGTCCCCAACGGGACGGGTGGGTTGAATGAACAAGGGCGGCCCTGCTCTCCCTCCTCCAGGCCTTCGCCTCTGCTCTTCTCCCACCTGGGGCGACCCTCTCCTTCTCGACTAGCAAATTCCGGCTGCTCTTTAAGGCGCCAGCTCCACGTCACCTCCTCTATGAGGTCCTCCCTGACTGCCCAGGTGGTCAGTGCCTCTCTCGTCTGGGGTCGCCCTGTCCCCTAACACACCCTGACAGGCTGGACAGTGACCCCCCACCCCAGACTGTGGGCTCCTTAGGGCCCAGGCTGCACAGTCTGGGACTGTGTCTTTGGAGTGAACGAAAGCATGAAACAGTCTCCTCTCCCTGCTGTCACCTGACACTTCGACCCCTCAGCCCGGTCCCCAAGCAGCTCCAACCTAAACATTTAAGGTAACAGCCCCTCTGCAGGGATACTGGCTGCAGAGGAAAAAGTGGTTTGAGGGGAAATTTCCACCACTCTATTTCCCTTATTCTCACTGATCCTGCCCCACACTAGTCCCAGCTCCCACACAGCCCGTGCACCCCTGCAGCGCTCAGCTGGGCCAACAGCAAAATGGCCAGAGCTGTCCTTCGCCCAGGCCTCTTTTGCTGCTCTCTCCTCCTCCATCAGAGCCCAACCCAAGAAAAGGGTCTCATCAAATCATCCCCACCAGCAATGAATAGGGAACTCCATTTCCACCACGACCCAAAGCTAAGTGATGTCTTAATGGGGACTCTCGAGGGCACGGCGACCCTGGCAAGGGGCCTGCTGAGGCTGCTCATCCTGGAGGCTGTCTCAGCCTTGGCCCAGGCAGGGTTCTCTCTCTCTCTCTCTCTCTCTCAATCTCTCTCTCTCTTTTGACTCTAGAGAAATACTGATGCCTAATCCCTCCCCCGACACTCGACACTCTGATTTCATTGCGACGGAGACATAGGCTTCCAAAACGTTTAAGCCCCCCTCCAGGTGATTCTAATTTGCTACAGCCCCCTGGCGCCTTCAGAAGGCCCCCCTCAAAGCCTCGTTCATTCGCAAGGAAAGTTTGGTTGGTTGCTTAGGGTCACCCCTCCCTTCTCCCATCGCAGGCAGCATGCCACTTTTTGGAGGAACAGGCAGGCAAAAGCAATGCAGAGCCCGCCCGGGCCCTTCAAACCCCACCATCCTTGGGTCAGACCCACCAGGGGCGGCCACGCCCCGGGCTCACACTCACTTGCCCGACTGCCCCAGGCCTGGGACGCTGGGTCCCCTCCGCCCTTCCTCGCCCCTCCCTCCCCGGACTTTCACTTCTCCTCTGCATTTCCCCCAGCCGGTTTTAGCAGACTTGGGCCAGCTTCTCGTTAGCACTTACCGAAAATGGGGCTAAATATAGAGGGCCCAAGGGCTTCCCCTCACCCCTCCTGGCCCCGCTTGGCCTGTCCCCTGGGTCCCCTGTCTACAAAGCCTGCTTCAATCAAGGCTGTGGCCTGGGAGCCCCTGTGCGCAGGGTCTGCACTGCCGGGAACCTCTGCTCGCCCACTGGCCCAGCCCAGCCTCCCCAGGAGTCGCATTTCACACCCCCATACCCCGCAGCTGTCCCTGGGCGGCCTCCAGGGATTGAACACTTCTGAGTGTCAGGAGGGACGGATGGAGATACAGGCAGCAGACACAACAAGAGTGGTGGCCCGACAGCTGTGCTGACAAAAGCTGCCACAGACACTGCAGCCACAGCCAGGCAGGGCCCCGAAAACGGACGGAGAGACCATGCAAACGCACACAGGGACAGGTGTGCACAGATCCCAGACAGGAATGTTTGCAGATGAATACACAAGCCCAGACACAATGACACAGGCAGATATGCAAAACACACACCCAGACGTGTGTGGGCACACCTGCACTTACACTCACACACCGAGTCACCCCCAGACACGTACACACTCACGCCCCAGAGTCACTCACAGACACACAGATAGACACAGATATGCATACACACACAGAAACCCAGGTCACTCAGATAGACACACACAAGATGTACACGCACACTCACACACACACACACATACCCAGAGTCACTCAGACATACAGACAGACACAGATGTGTACGCACGTGCACACACACACACACACACACAGTCACTCAGACGTAGAGACAGATAGAGATGTGCATACACACACACACACACACACACACACAGGTAACTCAGATAGACACACACACAGACATGCATGTACTCAAACTCCCAGAGTCACCTCCTCCTGGGAGATGGCCAAGGTGGACCCCTGAACTCAGGTCACAGATGTAGAGCCCAAGACCAAGCAGTGATCTGCCCAAGGTCACACATGTATTAATTCATGTCCACGCCAGGGAACCCAGGGCAGGCCTCACAGGCAGGGCAATTCTGTGAGAAATCCCAAGTAAAGGGTTTAACCCAGCGCCCAACACGTACAAAGCCCCCATTCAACCCCAGACAGGGAAGAGACGGCATGCATGTACAGATGCCCTGGGTCCCTGTGTCTACACTGTACATGCACACGCACGCACGCGTGCGCACACACACACACACACACACACATCCACAGCTGCATATATCACCCCAGTAAATAATCACACAGTATCTGGCAAGTGGCCTTCCTTCCATCTCACAGCCCTCCTTGCCTCCCTTGTCTTACTCATACCCACTCATCCTTCAAATCTCAGACCACACATGCCCTCTTCCAGGAAGCCCTCCCTGACACCCTATCGGCTGAACTGGGAAGGCTCCTGGGCTCCCCCAGTCCCCTGTGCCTCCCCTGTCCCAGCCGTGACCCCTCAGCCTGTGCCTCCTTCCCTGTCTGGTGACAGGTCTGTCTCCCCCCGCTGGACTGGGGACTCCAGGAGGACACACCGGAAGCTGCCTTTTTTGGCTCTATTTTCAACATCCAGCACAGAACTGCTCAATAAATACATGTCGATGACAGATCACAGGGATGCCCGCATACACGGATGCACACAGACACGCACCAAACCAATCATCCCCACAGACACCCACAAATGGGACACATCCCCACACATCCCCATAGTCAGACCTAGAGGGCCGCAAACAAAACCACCTTGAAGTATGGACGCTTGCCCAGTTCCAGGCCCCGTGGTAAGCATTTACCTACTACCTCACTTAACTCTCCCATCAGCACCGCAGAGAAATAACTATCATCACACAGAGATGGACACATTATGTCAAATGAGCCAACAAATACAAATCGCTTTGTACGGTGCTCGGCGCATGATGCTCACTCAGTCGACTGACATTTGGTGGATGAGGCAGTTCATGAGCACACAAACATGTAATAAATTTTCAAGCAGTGATAAGTGCCATGAAGAAAAGATAAAGCAGGGCGAAGGGACTCAGAATGGCGGGATTGGTTGCCAGTTTAGATGGGGCAGGCAGGGAAGGCCACCCCGAGGAGGGGACATCTCAGGCGAACGAAGTGAGGAAGTGAACCAAGAGAGCATTGCCAAGGCTACCCCCATAATGCCACACACAAGAGCCCCGCACACACGGGACACCCGACAGTCGCACACAGAAGACTCGCAACTACCGCGCACAAGCACAGACACAGACGCACACACTCAAAGGTCCAGCAACTCAGCCTTCCAGCCCCTGTGCAGTCCCCTCCCCAGGATCACTCATGTTGCCCACCCACCGGCACTCTGTATAGGAGCTTGCTACCAACACCTGGCTCCATCCCCCTCCCCCAGACCCCTCAGAACAGGGCAGCAGAGAAGGCGAGAAGAGGTCGGAGCCCCCCGGCGCCCCCCCACCCGCCCCGCCCCGCGCTCATGTGAAAGGGGAGGGGAAAGAGAAGCTGGAGGTGAGAACCCAGGATGGGAAGAGGGGGCAGCTGCTGAGGTAGAGTCAAAGGGCAAAGGAGACAGCTGAAGGGGAGGGGCAGGGCAGGGCGGGCCAGCAACCGGCTGGCAGGACGAGCCCCACGGTGTTGCCAGTGCTGGGGCCCCTTACCTGGAGCCCCCATGCTGGAGTGAACCATGCTGCCTGCCCCGCAGGGCTGGGGGGACGACTGTGCCATCTCCCCGCCCTCTCTGGGGGCCAAGCCCTCTCCGCCGGAAGTCACCCAGGGAGGAAACCACAGGGCCCGCCCCCTTCGGAAGGGAAAATGCCCGTGCCCGAAGGCCCCCCCCCCAGCAGGCAGCGGACCCCAAATCGTGTGTGTGTGCTGGGGAAGTGCGGGTAGTGGTGTAGAGTGCAAGCGGGCTGGAAGAGCTGACTCCTACAGCTGTGCCCCCAGAAGGTGCCCCTAGCCCTTGTGCCGCCTCCACCTTGCCAACACATCTGGAACAGGGCATGTGGGTCTAGGAGAGAAGGTGGATCCATAACAACACCACTAAAACACTGGCTAGGAGTTTTGGGTGGGGGGAGGGGGGCTTTCCCAATGCTAGGTCCCCTGCACCTCGCATTGTAACAGGCATCATCTCTGGAGGCGCTCACTATCTGCCCCATTTTACAGACAGAAAGACTGAGGACCAGAGAAGGGAGGTGGCCTCCCCAAGGGCCCAGAGCCAAGAAACGCTGAAGCCAAGAAGCAGGGCAGCAGGAGGTGTTCGCGATAGGTTTCCGCAGGCTGTGGGGAGTCGGGAACCCAGCCGTGCATCTGCCCGCAGGTGAGGCGTCCGGGGCCACCACTGGGAGAATCGGTACCCGTGGACAGTGGTAGGACCGGCGGCAGGTCCGGGCCTTGCCCTGGAGCAGCAAGAGGTTTGCCAGGGGGCAAATGCGGGCGCCGTAGGTGGCTGGGGCGGAGGGCAGTACGCGGTCCCGGGGCTGCAGGCTGGCCCTTCGCGCTGCGGCGCTCCCGGACCAGCTGTTCCCTCCGCGCCCACCAGAGGGCGGCAGCGCCCAGCCAATGGGCCAGAGGGCGGGGCCGGCTGCGGAGGAGGGAGCCCCTCCCGCCGCTCCCAGTCCCCTTCCCCGCCCCCGCGCGCACACCTGCGAGGGTCACACAAAGGCGCCGGACTCCCGGCCCACGACGGCGCAGACAAAGGCGCGGCCGAGCCCGCTGCCCTCTTCCTCCTCCCCGCGCCCGGTCCGAGGCTGCAGGGCTGCCTGCAGCCTCCAAACAACCCACCTGCCCGCTGCGGGCCCTGCAGCGGCGCCCCACGCTGAGGGACCCCCAAACCACGCGCGCGCACACGGACGCCTAGACTCTCATACACACGCTCAAGTATTTCTACACATGGACCCCAGCACTTCACACACACGTGTGCACATCCAGACACACGGGAACACTCCTCTGCGCACAGGTCCTAACACCAACGCTCCAGTGTACAGATCCCCTTCTGTGCTCCGTCACGCGGACACACGGGCACGAGGACACATCTACCCAAGTGTGCCCAGGCATATCTCCTGGCCATGTGCGCCCACATTCACACCCACGCACACTCACGCACGATATAACACACAGGCAGACCTTCGTGAGTGCCTTTCTGCCTGTACACGGGCCCTGTGCTCCCAGAGATGCCCAGGCAGGCAGACCCGCTCCACGCGGGGAATGACTGCGGTCCTCACATCTGCACTCAGAGGGGGCAGTTCCCCCTCTAGCTACACTCCACAAGATTCCATACTGTAAAGGCCATTTCACTGAGGAGATCCAGAGACCATACAGCATCAGCTGGGCTGCAACTCAGACCTCCTGCCTCCTGGTCCACCTCTTTCCCACTCTCTCCCTCTCTCAGATGCAGGGTTTTTATACCGGAGGGTCTCCTTGGAAGCAGTCTGGTGGCAGTGGTACTGGGGGCCTTGTCTTGACGTTGCATTGCCCAGTAAGCTCTGTTTTGAGTTAGGATTTATGTTTTGGGGGACTTGGAAATGAGGGTAATAAGGACATTACAGCGGGGTGTGGGTGGAGCAAAACCCCGCCAAAACACCCCCATGCTCCACCCTAGACATAGTCAACATCATCCATGTCAGGAGCAAGCTTTGGGACATAACCCAAAGCAGGGAGAGAAGCACCACCCATTTCTGGTGCTGTCCTCCCAGGTCTGCAGCTGAGTGGCACAGCTGGCGAAAGCCTTACACGCTTCCCCGTGGGGTGAAATCACCCCACACCTCTTGCCTCCCATGCTGGCTCCACTATTATCGCCTGTGGCAGACCAGAACTGAGTCCCTGAGCTGGAGTCAGGGCATCTTGAAGAATGGGCCTGAGACTTCCACCTGCCCAAGAGAGGACAGAGGGGCAGAGTCTGGGCCACACTGGGTGGGTAGGGCCTGGCAGCCAGGAACGGGGAGGCCTGGGCAGGAGAGATGGTGGCCTCTCAGCTGGAGAAGGCTCAGGCCATGCTGAGCAAGGCAGGTAGGGCCTGGGAGCTGGGGAGCAGCAGGGGCCACTGGGGGTGCAGGGAGCCTGGGAGGGAGGCGGCATAGGGGAGGCCAGGCTGGCTCAGGGCTCGGCGGTAATTAAAGGAGACGTAGGGGGCTCCCCAGGGCCAGCGGGGCTGGTAACTGACACACGGGCCCCATTGCTCCGCTCATATTTCTCACCGGATCGATACGTTTGACTCCCGACAAGACAATAATCGCTTGTACGCGGCCAGCGAGTCGATCAAATACATTATTAGAGCGAGGTCCCCTGGGGGCCCGGCGGGGAGTTGGGGGGGGGGGGGG